AAGAAAGTACATTAAGTGCTAAGTACAGTGCTTGCATAGGGATAGCTATCACTTTGTTGTCTGCAAAAGAGATGTATTTTTTTTAGGCCCAATGTTGACGCTTTTGATGATCATATAATAAATGTAACAGGTTCTCAGTATCGTACCTTAAGCTGATATATTTCAATTTTGTGAGTGTTAAGGTCAAACTCTACCTAAAGGAGAGGTTTGAATGACTACATCTAAATCCGTGCCCTCTGATTAAAGATTTTTTAATAAACCAGAAGGCCTATGGGCCCCTCTTTTCTACACAGCCTTAAACCTGCCTGCCTCAATCCCAGAGGCTATGCTCCTCAGCTTCTGCATTTTTCACAAGACCCTGTGGGCTCTCTGTGTCTCATCCCAGCTGTGTGAGTGTGCATAAACTATTTAATGAGAAAGCTACCCCAGAATATTCCACAGTGCCTGCTCCTGATCTCTGCTTTAGTCCTTTTTAATTTTAATTTTTTTTTAAAGATTTTATTTGAGAGAGAGGAGAAAGAGAGAGCACAAGTAGGGGGAGGGACAGAGGGAGAAGTAGACTCCCTGTTGAGTGCGGAGCTCAACGTGGGGCTCCATCCTAGGACCCTGTGATCATGACCTGAGCCGAAGGCAGATGCATAACCGACTGAGCCACCCAGGTGCCCCACTTTTTAAAGAATGCCTTCCTATCTTTATTTTGAAAGATCAAATTTAGGCATATTAAATTCAAGTATATTCCATACATGAAATTCTTTTATTGAACTAAAAATGGAAACATTTACTCTTTTATGGCCAACATACACATGAAACGATGCTCAACATCACTAATCATCTGGGAAATGCAAATCAAAACCATATTGAGATATCCCCTCACACCTGTCAGAAGGGCTAAAATCAAAAACACTAAAGAAACAAGCGCTGACAAGAATGTGGAGAAAAAGGAACCCTCTTTCCACTGTTGATGGGAATGCAAACTGGTGCAGCCACTCTGCAAAACAGTATGGAGCTTCCTCAAAAAGTTAAAAATAGAATTACCATTACATCTAGTAATCATACTACTGAGTATTTACCCAAAGAATACAAAAATACTAATTTGAAAGCATATATGCAGCCCTATGTTTATAGCAGCATTACTTACAATAGCCAAATTATGGAAGCAGCCCAAGTGTCCATCGATAGATGAATGGATAAAGAATGGTGTGTATACACACACACACACACACACACACACACACACACACACTGGAATATTACTCAGCCATAAAAAAAGAATGAAATCTTGTCATTTGCAAAAACATGGATGGAGCTGGAGAGTATAATGCTAAGCAAAATAAGCCCGTCAGAGAGGCAAATACCGTATCATTTCACTTATATATGAAACTTAAGAAACAAAACAAACAAGGGGGAAAAAGACAAAACCAAAAAACAGACTTTTAATTATAGAGAACAAACATGGTTAGCAGAGGGGAGGTGGGCGGGGGAATGGTGGAATAGGTGAAGGGGATCAAGAGTACACTTACTATGATCAGCACTGAGTAATACATGGAACTGTTGAGTCACTATATTGTATACCTAAAACTAATATAACGCTATTTTAACTATACTGGGATTAAAAAAAATACTTTTAGCTTATTTTATAAAAATGGCAATTTAACAATTGGGGGTTCATTTCTTTAGGCATAACAAACCTACATAGAAGAAATCATCAGAAGAATAAAATTTAATTGCAAGCTAAATAATGACTGTCAGTCTGCCTGATTGGACTTATTTTTAGGATTGGATAAAGTAAATTGAACTTTGGGGCACCGAAGTGGGTGGGTGGCTCTGGGTGGCCACCGAAGCCACTGGGTGGCTCAGTCGTTAAGCGTCTGCCTTCGGCTCAGGTCATGATCTCAGGGTCCTGGGATCAAGCCCCGTATCGGGCTCCCTGCTCAGCGGGAAGCCTGCTTCTCCCTCCTCCACTCCCCCTGCTTGTGTTCCCTCTCTTGCTGTGTCTCTCTCTGTCAAATAAATAAAATCTTAAAAAAAAAAAAAAAAAGTAAATTGAACTTCAATATCCCAGTCAAGATCCATCTGTCCAAGAAACACAATGATTTTGAATTAGTAATTCGAAGATTACTGTCCCAGGTGTCCTGGGTGGCTCAGTCAGTTGAATGTCTGGCTTGGTTTCAACTCAGGTCATGATTTCAGGGTTGTGAGATGGTCCTGCACTGGATTCCATGCTCAGCAGGGAGTCTGCTTGAGATTCTCTCCCTCTCCTCTGCCCCTCCCCCTACTCTCTCTCTTCCCCCTAAATAAATAAAGTCTTAAAAAAAAAAAAAGGTTACAGTGCCACATCATTCAAATCTAATCACATTCTAAGTTGTTTTTAGCCTTGGACTCCTCAGACTCCTTGGCAAATGAAAATAATTTTTAAAGAATATTACACTTGTTTAGGATTTCTTTTTATACCCACCCATAGCCTTTAGTAGGAAATTGTTTCTGTGATGTCAGAAAATGAGGCTTTAAAAAGCAGGTAGTATAAAAGGAAAAATCTCCCTTTTCATATGAAAACAATAATGCTGTTTTAAAGGTAGAACAATACTGTCAGCATACACAAATATTAAATAGTACTGCCTCTAAGAAACTGTTTTTAAGGTAAAAACTATTCAATCATACCTAGAGAAGCAAAATTAAACAATATATGTTTTTTACTAACAAAGTACAATGTCTGTTTCTAGAAAATCCTTTCTGGCTAGAAAAAGATTTGGAACATTATTTGCTTAATTAAAATTACAGTGGCATGCCTACCAATTATATTTGATGACTGCTTTATATGTGAATGTATGTTTTTTAAATATTGCAAATGGGCTCTTTCACTGTTGGAGATAAAGTCAAAGCACATGAGCATGGTCAGATTTTAATTTACCTCAATGGGGGAAAACAGATATAATCAAACTGATGGCTCTCTTCAAACATATTACTTATTCTTTATGACCACCTACTGCACCCACAAAATTGATTTCAAGAACTCCAGCAAGTAGTACTATACTACTTTTAAAATCTAATTTGATACAATCAAGGCATGACAAAATTGAAAGATCACTAGAGAAAATGGACTACTTCTTTCTAAATATTATAATGACTTCTCTCACAGGAAAAATGATTTTGACTTTACACTGTGTCTAAATTCCCAGAGAAAGTTTCCTGGATTAGCTATACTCTCTCTACTTCTAAGATGACTGGCTTCTCAGTTTGCTCAGGGCTTTTCTGGTTTTAGCACTGGAAGTCCCACATTCTGGGAAACCAAAAGCCAGGAAAATTCTGATGATCATACTACCTACTTCCAAGAATTACTTATTTATCTTCAAGACAGGTTTAGTTAACACCATTAAAATACTAGTTATATTGTAAACATATATTATGCAGTATCAGAATAACTTTTATCACATTATGAGTAAGACATGCCAAAGTTTTTTTTTCCAAGTAAATGAGTTAACTTCATTTAACATCAAAATTAGAGTCATAAATCCAAAGAAAAAAAGAATTAATTTTCAAGCAACTAAAAGGGTTGAAGGAGGGTTTTCAATCTCTTGGTCAAAGAGCAAACTTTGCTATGGAAGAGATATGATGATAAATTCTTTCTCCTGTTTGTCCCAGATCATTATGGATATATGGGTACTTACCCATATGAACCTTTAGAGCCTCCTAAGAAATATTCTGTAATTTAAAACCTACCTGAACAAAACCATAAATTCATACACTGTTAAAGCCTAAAGGAAGTATAACTAAGAGGTTTTTAAGCTATGTTATGTTAAGGCATTGAGACTGGATTAATAGCTAATACAAAGAACAATAAACACTTTTTAGTGATTCCCTACATTCTTAAAGAAAAAAAATATATGTAAGAGACTTTCTGAATTACTAAATCAGTATGTTCTCAAAAAGAATGAAGGAGAAAGCCAATTAAAATGACATAAAAAAACCAATATGTGCACAGATCTTTGGAATTCTAACCTAGAATCTTTACTCAATTAGAAGATTCATATTATAAACTAAATGTACTTACTTATTATACGCTTCACCTAAAAAAATTAAGTTAATATAGATAACAGGGAAAAGACAATTTCACTCTATTTAAATGAGTTTTAAAGATATGGCTACAAAATAAATGAGTATGTGCATGTGTTTGTATGTATAAATGGGTACATATGTACGTATGTATATGTGATATATATATATCAATCTTGTACTATCATATTTCTTGTTTATTCCTCTACAAGTTTTTAACAATCTTTATTTCCTAACAGAAAAGTAATCTACTTCCTAAATTTAATAATATTCTTTACTAAAATTTCCCCTTAAATTCTTACATAAATAACTTATATTACAAAACTTTACAGGACTACAATACAGTATGTTTAAAGATGTGATGAATAGCACCTTTAAAACTATTTTAAAAGGAGGTCAAATCTGACCTCTGGGCCATGAAGCACTACATTAACAGCTCTGCAGAAAGAAAAATGATAACGTATGAAATGAGGGCTCAGAAACTAGGACCTTATCAGTTAAGAGTATGATTCGAGCCTGTAAGACAAATTGCTCAGCAAGGCAAGTCACCTTCCTGCTGTGATGAGGATACAGCTGAATTTCCAATGCTACTATCTCCCTCATCATGTGTCCTAGACTTGATACCATACAGTCAAGGAATGGCTTATAGTTTTGAAACATCTGCTACTTATTCTGAATACATTTTGTCAAAGTCACCAACTAGGATAATTTTATTTGTCCTTCAACTGGCAACTCAGTGTTTAAAATAAAAATCTTCAAAGGATAGTCACTCATAGCAATGATCTCATGTTGACCCTTCATTAACAAAGAATGAGGATTCTACCTCAGGTTTTTAATGAGTAAACGAAGTTTGTTATTTAAATCATTTTAAGAGTTTGCTTGGTTCTTATAAAATCTGGAACGTTAAAAATTTAGCAAAGCCCACAAATTGTGTCACTTTAAAAGCATACCTGAACATTGATGGACTTTTTAAGCAGTTCTTCTACAAAATTCCAATTTGATTCCATTTGTCTCTAGAAAGGGAGAATATCGCACCAAAATTATTGCTCTTAATTATGCATTCAAATTACAGTACAGCAAGCTAGGAAGTACAAACATCTTCTCTATTATCAGACATCATTACAATTTCTTGAATGTCTAAAATTACCTGGACAAAGAGTTATGTGACAGACTTGGTAGAAAAAAAGCTTATAACTATTCCAATCCAATATAAACCTTATCAGTTGTTCTATTAAGCAATGGGATTTCTATAAAATTATAAATGTTTTAACAAATATCTAATTTTTGCTGTCATATATAATCTAACAGGAAAAACCACAAAAAAACTTCATGTAGTTTGTGGAGTTTTTATGCCTTGAGTGTTTTTCCTTATTCTGTACTCACCAGAGATTTTTTCATTTTATGCACAATAATGTCAAGAGTCTACTCTAGTAAACAAGTAACTAAAAATTTTATACAGAAAATTAAAAAAATATATACACAGTGCTACCTCATTTAATCAATGGTCACTTATCTGGCAACCCCAACTAGCTGCAAAACTCCTCACAATAAGGAAGAAAGCTGAAGACTTTCAAAAAGCCAAAATACTACACAAAAGCTAGGCACTAAAAACGACTTCACCTTCCCACAGCAAAGCCTGGAGGACTTTCTCACAGGATACACAGTTCACTTGCTACTCAGTTCTTAAAGCTTTGGATATATGTGCATATTGGTCAAAACCAGAAGCAAAGAAAATGCCTCTGAGAGGAAGCAAGGAACAACTAGTTCCTGACAGAGTGAAAAAGGTACAAAAGGTAACTCTAAGACCTCAAAAGGCAAAGCCAGGGGCCTTAAAGAATAGAAGCAAAGAGCCTCTGCATATCCTACCATCCCTATTGTTGTTCAGAAGGATGAACGCAAATGACCAATAAACGATTAAAGCATGTTCAATATTCTTGATTCTAAATGGCTGGATAATGTTCATGTAAGATGCTAACTACATAAAATCACTAAATAAACATTTCCTTAATAAAGGTACTCAGTGACTGTGGTAGCCACCCTCTAAAAATGGCCCCAAATGACCCGTCTCCCAGTATTCACACATTTATTTAACTCTTCATCACCCCCACCCCACCCCACCCCGTACCAGAGTTGGTCTGTCACCAACAGAATATCAACACTAATAGGATAGTATGTCACTTCCAAGATTAGGTTAGAAGACACTGAAGCTTCCATCTTAATGAAAATCTCTCTTGTTGACTCTGTCAGGGAAAAACCATAGTGTGAACAGGCCTGCAGAGGCCTATGTGATCAGTAGTAACCAAAGTCTCCTGACAACATGAGAAAGACTGGCAGTGAATCCTCTAGCTCCAGTCAAGTCTTCAGAGACTGAAGCACCTGCTGATAGCTAACCACAACCTCATGAGGGATCCTGGGCCAGAACCATCCAGCTAAGCTCCTGCTGTATACCTGACACTTAGGAACTGTGTGATATAATCAATGTTTATTGTTTTAAGCTGCCAAGTTCTGTTACACAGTAATAGATAACTCACACAACGACTTGATTATTTTTAGCAGAAGAATTTTTGACTTTTTAAAATGCATTTATGTAAGTAAAGTGAATGCAAAACATTTATGAGAGAATGTGTAGTAAAGCATTTGGCTCTGCCCAAAGAGTCTGGCCTTTACTGAAGCCAAGGATTCAGGTAAGTAATCTCTAGACCCTTGGAATGTTATACCTGATAAGGAGTATCTTTGTTTGCCTGGGGGCCTAGAGTCCTACTGAATAGTCTTATAGTTGAAGGTGGAGGCTGGCCATGCCCAAAACCCAACAATGTGACTTACACTAAGGGCTATGGAGACCTGGACAGTTGATTTGAAGACTGAGATCAACCATGCGGGCAATCAATCCATCATGCCTATGCAATGGAGCTCCAATAAAAACTGAACACTGCAGTTTAGGCAAGCTTTCCTGATTGGAAATACTCCCCACATACTGTCACACACTGATGCCAGAACTAACGGATCTTGACTACATGGGGAGAAAACAAAAGGAGCTCCACATCTGGTACTTCTCCTGGACTCTGCACTATATACTTTTCCTTAGCTAATCTTAATTTTTATCCTTTCCCTGTAATAAACCATAACCCTGAGTATGAGAGTTCTCAGTGAGTTCTGTAAGTCTAAGTAAATTATATGGTTTTGGGAATTCTTGGGCTTGCAATTGGTGTCAGAAATGAGAGCAGCCTTGAGATTGTGCCCTAAAACTCTTCCAAAAGGAGACCATTTTAGGGGCACCTGGGTGGTTCAGTCACTTGAGTATCCAACTCTTGATTTTGGCTCAGGTCATATCAAGGTTGTGGGATCCAGCCCTGCACTGGACTCTGCATTTGGCGGAAGTCGGTTTAAGATTCTCTTCCTCTGCTCCTCCCCGCACTTGCACAGGCCCAGGGCCCAGGCATTCTCACGTGCTCTCTCTCTCTAAAATAAATAAATAAATCTTAAAAAAAAAAAAAGACCATTTTGTCCCATAATACTATATGTACACTGTGTTAATGTCTTTACATTATTACTTCCTCTAAAGAAAATTTTTCCATTTCACAGATAACACAATTAAGTCTGAGAGGTCATGTATATACAAGTCAGAGCAAAGATTTTGCTCCAAAGCGAGTATTCCTTCCATTTTCTAACAAGCCTTCCCACAGCTTTCAGTAATTCACTTTTATATTGCTCTTTACAAAGAAAACATCACCACTAGTCCCAAATAAGCAGGAATATGACCGGACTGGTGTATTTAGCTTTATAATTTGATAGTGTTAATGAGTATATTTTAATTTCTGTTCTATCAAGGCATTTTTGAATCACATGAATCATAGAGAAGTAACATAATTCTTGTCCAAGGAATTTCAACTCTGTTCATCAATACTGTGGCTATAATCTAAAACAAAAATAAACCATCATTCAGATTAAAGAATGGCAACTAAATCATGCCCAAATCAAGTCTGAGTAAGAGACTATGTATCAAAGGATATTTTTTTTTCCCACAGCAAAATTGAACCTCGAGCATCTACATTTGTTTTCTACATACTAAGTTATACATAATTCCTCCGATAAAAAGGAAATAGGAAGTCATCAATTTTGGGCTATGTTTTATATTTCTTATCCCACCATCAAAGCTAAGACACCCACTTAAGCCTCAGGATAGTGGTGTCTCCATCACAAATATAAAATAGATCCCTCATACTCCACTTCCAACAGACTAGGTAACCTAGTACAACTTTCACTTTAAGGTTTTATTTCAGACCTTTTACCTAGTCACCATTTCAGATGTTTCAAAGACGAGCAACAGCTGGCCTGACTGATTGCACTATGTTCTGAGCAGGAAAAATACTGTTAAACTGATCCCTGCAATGCCCAAAAATATCTTTTCTCTTTAAAGGATATTTGCTTTTGAAGTAGATGACAGGGATTGTGAGAGGATAACACACTCTTATCTAGGTTGAAAGAAAAGCATTAAATAGAAATACATGAAAACCTAAAGCCTCTGGCATGAGAAACGAGATACCAAATTTTCCTTATAAGCCTATATTAAGCAATTGGCAAGTTTCGTGATTTAAATATACATACAACCAAAGTTCAATTCACACAAAACTTTTAAAATAAAATTAGGGCACCTGGGTGGCTCAGTTGGTTAAGCGACTGCCTTCGGCTCAGGTCATGATCCTGGAGTCCCGGGATCGAGTCCCGCATCGGGCTCCTTCTCCCTCTGACTCTCTGACCCTCTTCCCTCTCGTGCTCTCTATCTCTCATTCCCTCTCTGTCAAATAAATAAACAAAATCTTTAAAAAAAAATAAAATTAAATTAAATTAAAAAATTAAGCATATCTGAAACCTATTTAAAATGTAAAGATTTCATGCTTTCAGGGCAAAGCAGTTCACATTTAAAAACTGAAACATCTCTATGGTTTTCACAACATTAGAGATATTCTCCACTGATGAATGTAGGCCTAACCATTATCACTTCCCATCATCCTCTCACACCAGATTACTTGTTAGTGAAATAAAGTATGCTTAATACATGGCCATTTTCTTTTTTTTAAAGATTATTTAATTATTTGACAGAGAGAGAGAGAGAGCGTGCACACAAGCAGGGGCAGCGGCAGGCAGGGGGGGAAGCAGGCTCCTAGCTGAGCAAGGAGCCCGATGTGGGGCTTGATCCCAGGAACCTCGGATCATGACCTGAGCCGAAGGCAGACGCTTAAAGGACTGAGACACCCATATGCCCCTGCATGGCCACTTTCTATATGGCAGCTGGCTATGATACTATATCATAAGGAGAAAAATGAATTCAGATAATTTTCAAAATTCTGATCTAAATATATCACAGATCCAAATTAACATCCTATATAATCTCTCTGAAAGGATGAGTCAATATGCCTTTAAGTTTCATAGATTAGAATGATTATATGACTTTACGAACCAAATTGACACACTCTGAGAGTAAAAGGGAAAACCAACCAGATACGATAAGGGGATCACAGGCATAATAGGGACTGTCCATGGCAAACTGGTACACATCGTTACCCTACCAAAGGCCTATTCATAAAAGGCAGTCTTTAGGAGGACCTTAATATCAAGTTTATCTAAGTGATAAAAACAGGCTGATATTTAAGTACTGTGTACCTCAGTTTTGTTACCCATAAAATGGACATATTACCCTCTCATCTGCTTCGCAATACTTAACTGAGATAAAAACTGACTGTGAGATATTAAACACTTTGCAAATGCAATATGCTGAAGGTATCACCCCTAATGAAAACTAGTAACAACTAGAGAGCTTGCATTTTTCTTTAAAAGCTATTAAAGAGTCCAGAAACATTTGAAACTCTTTGAGGGCTCATGAATACAGGCAAAGTCTATTTTACATATACACATATACATATATATTATACATCTTTATTATTTTTATCATATGAAAGGTTCTTTTTCAAATATCATAGCTTTTTCCTCCTAAAACCTCCTACATAAGATTTTTTTTTTTCAAGATTTTATTTATTTTTTTGACAGAGAGAGAGACACAGTGAGAGAGAGAACACAAGCAGGGGGAGTGGGAGAGGGAGAAGCAGGCTCCTGGCTGAGCAAGGAGCCCAACACGGGGCTTGATCCCAGGACCCTGGGATCATGACCCGAGCCGAAGGCAGATGCTTAACGACTGAGCCACCCAGGCACCCCGTAAAGAATTAAGATTTTTGGGGCACCTGGGTGGCTCAGTCGTTAAGCGTCTGCCTTCGGCTCGGGTCATGATCCCAGGGTCCTGGGATCGAGCCCTGCATCGGGCTCCCTGCTCAGGAGGGAAGCCTGCTTCTCCCTCTCCCACTCCCTCTGCTTGTGTTCCCTCTCTAGCTGTGTCTCTCTCTGTCAAATAAATAAACTCTTTAAAGAAAAAAAAAAGAATTAAGATTTTTAAAAATATATGTATCTTGGCAAAAGATACTCACACAGGAACTGCTGACATTAAAAGACAAAGGTTAAGCTATTTTAAATACAGACAATTCAATTACTATCTTGATTCAGAGCTAATAAAAGCACTAATTTCCTATGGAGTTCTCTGTATGAAACAGAAGAGTGATTTCAGCAATGCAACTGTGGGAGGTTGTACCAGTGCAATTCAACATTACAACAGTAATAGTAATGATATATATCAATGTAGCTAGATTATGTACCACACTGGGAGTACGTGGAGGTCAATATCAACCACTACTGAAATACACCACTCACTCGCACAAGTGTTAATGGCAATTCCAGCAAGCATTAATAATCTGAAATCATGTTCCTTGAAGCAAGAGGCAGTACAATCTGTTTCATGTATATCCTATCATTGGCACCTATTATTATGATAGCCACTCAATGGGAACTCAGAAGTGCTTAACTAATTACCATATTTATTTATACTGATTAAAATTAGAAATGTGTACTTGGGGGAATTAAAATGGGAAGACAAATAAAATGTTTTTGTAAAGACATTAGAATTATAGGTTATTTTTTGAGTTCTTTTAATGTTGTTCTAGTATCCTAATAATTAAAAGATGTTAAACTATTAACTTCACAAAAATATTCAATAAAAGGGTTACTACAGTAATAATGGCAATCTGCTAAGATTTATTGAGTATTTACTATGTATCAGCATTGTAAAAACTCATGTACAGAAACAAAAGACATACAATCCTTTTCTCTGGGAAGTTCATTCTATTGATCCATCTCAATAAAATAAATTCAATTGATCCCTCTCAATAAAAACAATGCTTAAATGTGTTAATACTGAGCTGTGGGTGAGCTTCTCAGAGTACTTTCTGACTTTATTAGTTTACTCTATTTGCGATCTCCTGAAAAACCTTATTACTATTAGGGAGATTATTTAGAGTACCTTTTGAGGCCCTTTCCATTTCTATGACACTACTGTCAATGTTAACTGATTTTCAGATTCCATGCATGATTTCTGAGCTGACTCTGTCCAGTATTTCAAAGACAGAAAAATCAGTCAAGGAACAGGCTTCATAAGCAATGATCGCTATACCTGGTGGATGATGAGAACCAAGAAACTTTTTAAAAATAAAAATTCCCAAACTCCAAACCAGATTACTAAATCAGGATCTCCACAGCTGAGATCTGGAAATCTGAATTTTTTAGAAACTTGTGGGTAGGTCTGATGATCAAAAAAAAGACCAATATTGAAAATACAGATACACTGGCTTCAAGATTCTAGACGTTTATTTTATGGAATTGATGGGCCGATAGAATACTATGCTATTGACTTCTAAACATGGAAGAAATTATACACAAATAGGGCTTCAAATAAATATGTCTACCAGCCAGTTTTATTCATAGGGATTTTTAAATAACACTGTAAAAAATGTTTCTCACTAGAAATTAATAATTAAAATCTATTTGAAGTAAACCTCATGGTTAATAGATTATCTTTATAAAAGGCTTCCCTAAAGAAGTATTATTCTGAGGAAATAATTTTATGAAATTATTCACAGAAACTACTAATTCACTACTGGGGATATAAGCTTTCCCGTCAGCAATCTTACAGATGTTAGAACTAGAAGACATTTTCTGAACAACTCAATCCCTAGATTTCTGGATGGGGGGATAGAGACCCAGAAAGGTTGAAGTAATTTACTGAAGGTCAAGCAACTACTTAGTAGCAGAGCCAGGATTAGATCCCAAGTCTTCTACAAGGTGTTTTTCCTTAAACAAACAATAAAAACATAAAGATTATCATTTTTCTGGATATTTACAGAAAGGTCTAAAACTTCTAGATTCAAAAGCTGAATTTATCTCTGTAGGACTGTGATCTAATTTTTGTTGTGTTTCTGTGCTTACTTTCTAATTTGTCTACAAAAATACATATTAATTAATAATATAAGGCAATTTAAAAAAATAAAATCTTACCATTTCGTCTGGTGTTCCATGGCGATCAAACTGGTAGAGTGATGCTATATGAGTGACGATCCACCAACTAAAACCTAATGGATCCCTGGGCTGGATTACAGGCACAGAAGGTCGTCTTCGGTCACTTGATTTTTCAAAGAATGTTTTAAGTAGTTTATTCAACCAGTTCCAAAATGACTATAGAAAGAGAGGTAGTATGATTCAATTAAATAAAGAATATAACCTTTGGTTTGGGCTTTTTCCTCCACTTGCACAAATATACACACAAAAAAACAAAACATGTTTATAAAACTTAAAAGTATAATAAAAACACAAGAACTAGAACCTAATTAGTACTTTACAAAGATCCTACATGTTCCACAATCACATCTTCCGCTGTCCAGGGGTAGCCATTATCCTGACCTTCATAATAAATCATGCCCCCCTTTTTTGTTTTGTCATACAGGTATATAAGCCTAAATCATATATTGTTCGGCTTTCTACCACTACTTTTTTTAATGCATGTTTGTATTAAGTGGCCTAATTGTATTCTTTCATAACTTGCTTCTTTTCCTCAACATGTGTTTCTGAGATTCATCCACTTTAATGAGTATAGCCCCAGCTCATCAGAGTATTCTAATATATGACTATATGATAAACCAATTACCTGATATACTGTTGAACATTTGATGAGTTTTTAGTAAATTTTTTTTTCTAGGTATTTGTCCATTTCATAAACCTATTCAAGTTATTAGGCATACAGTTGGTGACAATACCTCAACTTTTAAAATATCTGCAGAATCTGAAGTCATGTTCCTTTTTAAATTTCTAGTATTGACTGTAATAATTTCAGGAAAAATTAGCCAATTTTAGTAATCTTTTTGAAGAGCCAACTTTTGACTGTTTTGATCATTTTCATTGATTTGATCATCTTTGTTATTTTCAATTTCATACATCTGTGTTAGTTTTATTCGCTACCTTTTACTTTCTTTGGGTTTATAATGCAGGGATTTTTTTCCCTTTTTTGTGTGATGAATTCTTAGCTCATTAATTTTCAACTTTCTTTCCCCTCTAACATCTGTATTTAAAGTTATAAATTTCCCTCTGTATCATTAGCTACACTCCCAAAGCTTTAACTAGTATGTTAGTCATCATTTACTTTTAAATATTTTACAATTTCAATTATATCTTCTTTCACCTATCTCAGTATTTCTATGCATATGTGTATCTCGTAGTTCAGGCAATTTTTATTTTCTACATTTAATACTTTGTTCCTAGCCACATAAAAATGTTAATTTGCTTTGCCTTCCTTATAAGTTGAACCTTTTATCAGTACACAATGACTTAATGCTTCTGCTGGTTTTAAAGTCTAATTTTCTCCAATATTAGTGTAATACGTTACCTTTCTTACATCTTTTCCTATCAATTCTGAGCCTTTCTGCATTTTGTTTTAATTACCTCTTGTAAACAGCTTACATTCTGTTTTGACAGTGTATCTATTAAATGAGCATTTCAGTAGTCCACTTGCAGTTAATGACTTATACATTTAGTTTTAAATCTACCATCATATTCTGTATTTGTATACCTATGTTTTCCACAAACACCCCTTTCTTGAGTTCTTTTGGGTTAAATATTTCTTTTTTTTCCCCCTCTACTAGCTTGTAAGTTAAAGTCTACTTTCTCTTCTTTCAGTGATTACCTTAGAAATAATACATCCAAACGTCTTGATAATATATATCTTTGCTCTTCTCTTAAACAAAATAAGGACCTTAAATTCATTTATGCCCTATCCAATTTCTAGGCCAGCATTACTGTGTAAACTCTCTTTTTTAAATTCCAGTAGATTATATTACTGACTTATATAAACATTTACTACTTTCTTTGTGCTTTATTCCTTCATACATCACACCACCTCCCCCTTTCCCCAATTCAGGCACCATTCTTCTAAAATATATCTTTTAGAATTCCCTTCAATTCTGCTTCATTGACAATAGCATTGTTTCACCTCACTCTTGAAAGATTTCGTTGGTAAAGAATTTTAGGTTGACAACTACTTTGCTTTAATACAATGAAGGTACCACTCCCACTGGCCTCCTTTGCTTTTGAGAATTCAGTTTACAGTCTAATTGTCACTCTTTTGAAGGTAACATAATTTTCTGTCTGAATGCTTTTAGCTCTTCTCTTTGTCTTTGATGTTCTGGAGTTTCACTGTGATGTATCAAGGTCTGCTTTTCTTTTTTTATTCACCCTACGTAGAACTGATTGGGTTTCTTAATATGATAGCTTTCATTAACACTGGAAAAATTTCTGCCATTTTCTCAAGTATTTGCTCTGTTCCACTCTCTACTTCCTCTCCTTTGGGACTACAGATAAAAGCATTATCAGATTTCCTCTGTATTCTCACATGCTGCATTTAGCTACCTGGTCTCTTCTATTTCCTTTAATCTGTAACAGTTCTTCAGTAATTATCTTTCATAATTTCATAATTAGATTCACAGTATACATTTTTGGCAAGAATACCAAAGAAACATTTTTCTTCTTTCATTGCATCACACTGAGGGTACATAATATCAATTTGTCCTATTATTGGTTAACTTTGATCACATGGCTAAGATGGTATCTGCCAGACTCTCTACACTGTAAAGTTACGGCTTCCCTTGTAAGTGGCATTGTAGAGATACAGCAAGCTGTGCAAATACTCTGTTTCTCATCATACTTTTGGAGGCCACTGAGGATTCATGCCTGAAACAAAACAATTACTAAGGTGGCTGTCAACTGGTGATTTTCTAATTCCATCATCAACATCTACATTTATTAGGAAGAATTTCCCTTCCCTCCCCTTATTTATTTATTTATATCAGTATGGAAACATAAACACTTATTGTATAGATTACAATCCTTTGTTATCGTTTGTTTTGTTTCTCAAATTCTTCTAGGTTTAGAGTGTGGGAGAGCTTCATGTTGGCTCTTTTGTCCTTTTGATATGTCCTCATTTTCTGAGTACTCCCTTAGTTTCCGGTACGGAATGTTCCAGTCTCATTTATCATTTTCCATGCATCAGCGTGGAAGATCAAGACATTTGCCAAAGGAGCTTTGTTTCTTTTCGATGGAGGTTAATAATTTCAAGACCAAGAAACTGCAGTTTCCTCATTGTTACTCAGATACCATCGTTTGTAGGCCCACCTAGTGGGTAAGGTAGGAAATGCATGTACGTACACACAAATCTCTAATCTAGTTCCAATTTTTAAAAAACATTATTTCATACTGATCTCTCAAATTCCATTCCAACACATTATCTTTCACTCTACCTTTCCCTCTTTCCAAATTTATAACTCAATTTTCCAACAGTGGCAAAGCTGGTTCTTAATTACCCACAATATACTTATTAATTTGCTCAGTCCTAGAGTACAAATATCTAGAATTGCTAACCCATATATAACACTGTAAGACAAATCTACAAACAAGAGTCCAGGATCTGAAGTTCGTTATAATTCTTTTATCTTTAGCCTTAGAGCAAATTGTCAAAGTAGTGCATTCCAAGTCCTCTAGGTCAGATCCCCCGGCCCCCATAGCTCCTCCCATGTGTTATTCACTTGGAATACAGTTAGGTTCAAGTGTTTTTCTTTATATTCCACTGAATTCCTCTTTCGTACACGTTGATTTATTTCTGTAGCATGTTAAAAATTAACATGGTTCTAATGTCATAACACATTCAAACCCTTCTACTCCATTTGTCACTCACCAATCTCCCATTCCTACCCACCAATTTCAATAGTTCCTGATTTGTCTTTCCAGTATTTATCTGGGACAACTAAGCATACACATTTCCTATTTTCCCTACCTTCATACACAGAAGGTGGCATCCTATAAGAACTCTTTTGCACTTTGCTTATTTAACAATAAGTCCTGGAAATCAAACCATTATCAGTTCAGATATTTTACTCATTCTACTGAATAAATACCTAATACTCTAATGTGCTAATAAACCATGGTTTTACTCTCCTGTGTATGGGCATTTAGGTAGTTTTTAACATTGTGCTTTTACAAATAATGCAATAAAGAGCCTGAGGCATATGAATTTTTGAATTGCTGTAGGTATATATTAAAGGGAAACTTCTACAAGTGGGAATGCTAGGGTCAAAGTTATAAAATTCTTGGCCCATACATTTTGAATCCTTGTGTTGTTGTTTTTGGTATTGATGTTTTTATTTCACAGAAAATTTTTGCAAGAATCTTTTTATAATGCTTAAAGGTGGCAACATATATAAATTTACACATACATGTGGCAGCTAAAATATAATGTGTACAGGTCAGAAACTACTAGATTGCACATGGCATCGCACAGGTGTCCCCTGCCTTATTTGTGCACTTTGGGGAGTGCACCTAAAATATATTTAGGTCTGTTTCCCCAAAAAAGGAGTGCATTAATTTAGCTATTCCTTTTTTCTTAAACATGCACTTTCCTACATAATCATGTGGTAGGAAAATAACATGGGCTGTAGCATCAAATAAATCCATACTGGAAGCCCGTTTATCATATTGTTATCTGATCAGTTTACTTAACCTCACACCCATTCTACTTGCTGGCACATAAGAAGTATCACTCAAGGAATATTAATTTGCTTTCCTTCTCTGAAGTTGAAGTCTAATTGATGTTTACTAGATAGTGAGTGTTGGGTTTTTAGGAAAACAGTCATACACATAGATCCAGCATTTAGAATATTTCTTGGAACACAAATATGTCCTTGATCAAATTAGTTTACTTCCATTCCTGGAATTCCCATCTAATTTGGGGTGTATGTGAATTTCTAAACATTCCTGAGTCTCCCTTAGGCTTCTCTAATTGCTTCTTGGGAATCATAATCCTGTTGGCTTCACAGAAATCAGCAGCAGCCCAGGCAACATTTGAAAATAACTTAAAAACCCTGAACGGCCTCTCCCCTTTGGATAATTTCCTTAGAACATTAGTCCTTTGAACAGACCTGGTTGCGGAAAATGTCTCTTTCTCAGCAGGAAAACTCCAAATCCCATTCAATCTTCACCTCCCTCATTCTAGGGATGTGGTGGGGGAGGCAAGGAATAGGGAGAGGGAATCAAATACTCCTTTCTGGAAGAATGTTAGCATGCATGTGTACACACACATGCACACACGATTTCTCCTTTCAAAAACATAATGAGTACATTGTATAAATCAGTGTTGCCACATTACAAAGTTTCAAAATCTTTGTACAAGACGAAAATACACAAAAAACAAAACAAAACAAAAACCTCTGCCTTCAGTCTGGAAAGCTTGTAAGAACAGGCCCTATGTGGAGCTCAGCCGGCTGTCAACATTCAGGGAATGATCATGTCTTCTGTGATATCATTAACTCCCAGGTGGATGAAACAGAGAAGCTGCCCTGCTTTTCCTGAAATTTTCAATTGTTTTTTCTGTTCCTCTTTCTTGGCTTATCCTCATCCATCTCCATCCCCAAAGACACTGCATGTCAGATAGTACACAGAGTAATTTTTAACTTCCTTCTTTTTGTCTTAGAACAAACTTTCTGTCGTTTTGTTTCCTTTTGGTTTGGTCACTTTTTCTTGATCTTGAGCTTTCTATCAAGGGAATATCACACAGTTACGGTCCATATAATCTCCATACAGTAAAGAGATAAGACCTACATCATTTTTTTCTAAGCTGAGGGCTGCTCTGCTGTGTCATACTGTTTATTCATTCCAGAGGCTGGAAGTCCAAGATCAGGGGTCCGTCATGGTGGAGTCAGGGCCCTTTTCTAGATAGCAGACTTCATGTTGCATTCTCATAAGGAGGAAGGCTTTCTGAGTCTTTTTAAATGTTCCATTGTTAACTTTTTTATTATGTTTTTGAAAAGTCTAGAGCAGGTCAAATTACTTTGCTCTTGTAAGTTATTAGGTCTTTTTGTCTAGAAAATTTGATAATTTCCTAAAGGACTTTAAGTCATTTTCTGTATTTCTGAAGTCAAATAGTTTTAGCAGGATATGCCTTGGGATGGATTATTTGGAGTTAATCTTTCCAGTTATCTGGTAGGCCCGTTCAATATGTAGAATTAGTTTTTGTTTTAGGAATGTTTTCTTGGATAATAGTTTTGAATGTTAGCTATATCCTATTCTGTTTTCTTCTTTAGGGACTCCATTTATATATACAGCTGTTTCTTCTTTGCTTATCTTCCATTTCAGCTATTTTCCAACTCTTTATATTCCTTTCTTCATCTAATTTTTATTCCCCTGGTTTTGTCTTTCTTCCATACCTGATTAAATTTTCATTTGAGTATATTCTTCTTGGGCACCTTGTCACTTAGTCAACTCTAAAATGATTTTTCTTTCATTTCTCTCCTTCATTCCATTTACTCTTTCCATTCACTTCTGGCTTTAGTCTACTTGTTTTTAACATCTAAATATCTTATTCAGGGTGGTTTTGTACAGCCCCAAATGCTTGTCTGTTTAATCTGGAGTGTTATCTTACAATTTTCTTCTGTTTCACAGTTGTTTCTTGGAGAAAGGGTTCATCAGCTGAAGTGTATCAATTCTGTTTCCTAGTAGTAACCTTATAAACACTTGTTTCAAAGTTTCTTTTTCCTTTCTTTCATTTAGTAGATTTAGACTACTTTAAAAGATTTCTAGTTCAGCGGAGCCCTCTTTTGCCAATGTACCAAAGTCCCATTTCTTTCCTGGATTTCCTTTCTTTTTTGGTGGTGGTGGTAGGAGAGTGGGTGTTGAGAATTTTGATTTTGTTTTTCTAGATCATTTTATCCTTTTTATTTCCTTTCACCTCCCAATCACCAAGGGTACCATTCCTTTTTTGCCATTTTATTCTCCAGAAGGTCTACCTTCAAAGACTGCCTCCTCATGTCATATACACACTTTCAAGTTCTATCCCATAGTCACTTCTCTGACTTACAAGGAAACAATCTCAGTATTTTCACAATCTGGCAGTGGTTTTAGACCAATCTGAGGACCACTGCTAGCATTTTTTTCTCAGGCTGCCCTTGCTTGCTAGAAAGTTTTATGGTAGAGCTTTGGTGGTGGTTTTTACCGTTAACATTTTTATCATTCCTATCTTGTAGTTATGCTATCAATGTGTGTGCGTGTGTGGTTTTATTTGTTCTTGCTGTTCTATATTTTGGGGGGTAGTTACTTAGGGGAGATACAGGTTTAAGTATCTACCCATTGTGTGTGGCTGCTTAGAAGTCACTGGCTTGAGATTTTTAGTACAATCTAGGCAACAGCAACTCAAGCTATAAAGCTGTATGAGGGCTGGCTTGCAGTAACAAATATACTGAAGAAATTTTAAACTGCAAGGCATCACAGTAAAAGACAGGCAATTTTCCTTACAAATTTAGTTGAGTTTCTAGTTCATCCTTTTGAAGGCCCAGATTTATGGGTAGTGTATCAGTAGGCTACCAACTTGGGTTAACTCTGACCTCTGTCTTCTATTCTTTTACCTTATAAGGTATGAAAGCTAATGTTCAAGTTTATACAATTTAACAACTGCTTATAAGGTTATGGGGCAGTTTCAGTGTTCAGGGGACCTGAGTTCCCACCTACATTTAGTATTTGACCTCAAGACTTCTCACTTTCTACAAGCTTACTGATACATGTAAATGCTTATTATCTGATACCCAGCATGATTAGATTACATTAGATTATTTTTTCAACAGGAAGGTCAAAATGTCTTTCCAGGCATGGAAAATTCTAAGTTGAATTTTAAAAATAAAATAGACTTCAAAGTCTGTGAATAATATCAGTTATTTTACTTGTATTAAAAAAATGAAATGACCTCAGATTTTCATTACTTTAAGACAAGTAAGTCTAGTTACTACATCAAATGAACAGCATATAAATCATTTAGGTTAAGCAATACATATCGCTATGCAAATTTCTACAATATATTTTAAAATTATGCTTACTTTTCTATTTAAAATCCAGAGAAAGATTAAGAGAATCAAGTATGAACATCCCTATATTAATTATATGTAGTTTACATGTTCAAGTCTGAAATTGGTAAAATAAAAATTATAAAGAAGTATAAAATTCTTAAATGATAAGCTTTGCAGAAAATGGAAAAATTGATGTTCACCATGTCAATGAGACAAAACATCCTGGCAAATGATCAAAGGAAAAAAATCCCGAGACTCTAATGTTGAAATCTCACCAAAGGAAGCTGAACTCTGACAAACCAAAATGCGAGGAAAAAAATTTTTTCTTACTTAATAAGACATGCTAAATTTATACTTAAGTAAATTTATTGCTAAAATAATAACTGAAAATATAGTACTTGTAAACTCACAAAAATACGTTTGTTATTAAAAAGAGATAGCACCACCCACACCCCAAATTGTGGAAAACTGGGAAATTATAAAACCCATGAAAAATCAAAGGACTTTTTCATATAACATAAATCGTTGTATCATTTTATAATTAATTATTTGTACTTACTTCTACCTGTATTTCTTTTTCTACTAATCCACAACACCTGAAATAAAATAAAGCCCCATTCTGAAGACTTGGCTCAAAATGAGATGCAAGAAGATTTCTTATGTTCCCCTTTGCACTTTTCTTCCTCCTTTCTTGAAATAATGCCATAAAATTCATTAATAAAAAACTACTTTATTTCTCCCCAAATCTAAATCTGCCGTATTTCTTGACTAAATTGTTTTCTGGATTACTAGACAGTATAAAAAGATTCTTGACAGAACAACAACAAAAAAACTTGAGAAAATAAGAGTCAAATCCTGCACTTCTCCTAGAAGTTTCATATTGCCACTTTAGGGTTAAAAATGTAGTAGGTGTTTGGTACTCAGTGCTCTGTTTGGCGGTGGTGGCTGTCCTATATAAGGAACTTTGTAGCATTTTTCTTGGCGAAAACCACTGCAAAAATTCAATATAAGAGTTAGGAACAGTAATTAACACATCAATTTTACAACTTACTTCTGAAAGAGACCATTTATTTCTGTGTTCTAGAAGATGAATGAGAAGAACCCATAATTCTTTAATGCAGGAACATGGGCAGTGGTGACTTGCTAATGCTTCAGAAGGCCTAACCTGTAGAGAAGAACCAAACTGAATTCTGTAAGAATTTTACATGCTACATATCTCTCTCCAAATGTTTTTTTTTTTTTAAAGATTTTTATTTATTTATTTGAGAGAGAGAGAATGAGAGATAGAGAGCACGAGAGGGAAGAGGGTCAGAGGTAGAAGCAGACTCCCCGCTGAGCAGGGAGCCCGATGTGGGACTCGATCCCGGGACTCCAGGATCATGACCTGAGCCAAAGGCAGTCGCTTAACCAACTGAGCCACCCAGGCACCCTCTCTCTCCAAATGTTTTAAAAGAATTTAGATGACTTAAAACTGATGTTCAATTATATAAAGTTGCTTACAAAATATGTGCCATTCCATTAAATTTTAAAATAAATTCCCATTTCACTTTTTTTTTTTTTAAAGTAGGTCCCACGCCCAGCGTGGAGCCCAACGTGGGGCTCAAACCCATGACTCTGAGATCAAGACCTGAGCAGAGATCAAGAGTCAGATGTCCAACTGACTGAGCCCGCCCCTAAATTCCCATTTTACAACCAAAGTATAGAATGAACTTTATTTTCAACCTTTAAAAAAAACCTTTGCTTTAGGGGTGCCTGGGTGGCTGAATTGTTAAGCCTCCGACTCATGGTTTCAGCTCAGGTTATGATCTGTGTCCTGAGATGGAACCCCAGGTCAGGCTCCATGCTCAGCATGGAGTCTGCTTATGCCTCTCCTTCTGCCCCTCCCCACTGCTCGAGTGTGCTCTCTCTCTAAAATCAATCAATAAAATCTTAAAAAACAAAACCCAAACCAAAAACCTTTGCTTTAATCATCAATGTTCAGTAAACTTTTTCTGTAAAGGGCTAGATAGCAAATATGAGGCCTTATTGGGACATAGGCTGTCACAACTCCTCAACTCTGCCACTGTCCATACAACACCAGCCATAGACAATACGTTAAAAAAAAAAAAAAAAAAGGATGGGCTGTGGTTCAGTAAAATTTACAAAACAGACAATGTGTTAGATTTGGCCTCAGGGCAATGATGTCCTAACCCTGATCTAATCCATCAGCCACAACAGAAAAACTTCTAATAAAAAGATTAGAAAACAAATTTTAATCCACTATAAAGCAGACTAAAAAGTTTTTACAAGTCAGAATAAATACATTAGGGATTTATAAAGGTTAAGCAATTTTAAGTTAAGCATTTTTTTATCAAATATATCCTCAATGGCCCTAAATAATGCAAGGCATATGCACTATATTTGCAAGTATAGCTATTCAGAAATTCATTATGTAATTACTATTTCACATATACTACATTCATGTTTCTAACATAATACAGAGTCAAAGATAACTGTTAAGATATTACTAAGTCGAGAGGCTGCTGGGAAGATGGCAGAGTAGGACGTCCCTGGGCTCACCTCTTGCCACTTGGCCGCCTAGAGAGCACCCATGTTGGCATAAATAACCCAGAAAACAGCCCAAAAACTGGCAGAACAGACTCCACAGTCCAGCATAGACAAGAGGCCACAGCGAAGCAGATCCACCCCCTCTGATCGCTCTTGGCAAGATCCCATCAAAGCTGTGCCACAAGCCTGGCAATGTGTGCGCGGCCCACACAAGGGTCAGCACCACTCCAAAGTGAGTCCTGCCCCAGGGAGAGGGGAAGATAACCACACACCAGTCTGACTGTGACCCCAGCAGTGAGCTGGGGATGGGTCTGACTGCAGGCCCCACCCACCAACAAAAGCTTCTCAGGGGACTACACAGGGACAGTGCCTGCAGTTTGGTGCTACTGCATCTCTGGCAAATGCCTGGTCTGACTCAGCTCAAGCCCAAGGCAGCCCCAGAGCAGCCTACTAATATCATGGGCACCAGACTCTGCCCACAATAGGCAGAGAGCCATCGCAGACAACAGGACTGAAGGCAAACACATCCTAGCCACAACGGTAGGACACCCCTGGAACAACACACATAGGAGACACCCCCTGAAGCACCAGGTTCTGGGGAACAGACATTGTACTGCAGGACCTCTTCTTCATAAAGCCACTACTTTCAAGTGCAGGAGACGTAGCTGACTTTCCTAACACAGAAAAACAGACAATGCAAGAGATGGAATGAGGAGACAGAGGACTATATCCCAAATCAAAGAACAGGACAAAATCAGAGCAGGAGACCTAAGTGAAACGGAGGTAATATGTCTGATAGTGAATTTAAAGTAACGCTCATAAAGATACTCGCTAGAATTGAGGAAGGAGTCCAGGACCTCAATGAGACCCTCCACCAAGAGATAGAAGACATAAAAAGGAACCAGTTAGAGCTATTGGACTCGTTAAATGGAAATAAAAATAGACCATCTGGAATAAATAGCAAGCAAGAGGAAGTAGAAGAAAGGATCAGCCACCTAGAGGACAGAGCCATGGAAAGCAATCAAGCCGAGCAGATGAGAGGGGGAAAAATATGCAAAATGAAAATAGACCCAGGGAACTCAGCAACACTGTCAGGCATAACAGTCACATGATAGGGATCCCAGAAGGGGAAGAGTGAGAAAAGGGGGCAGAAGATTTGTCTGAAGAAATAATAGCTGAAAACTTCCTCAATCTGGGGAAAGAAAGAGAAATCCAGATGGAGGAGGCACGGAGAGCCCCCAACAAAACCAACCCAGAGAGGTCTGTGCCAAGACACAAAGTAAATAAGATGGCCAAAAGTAGTGATAAAGAGAGAATTTTAAAAGCAGCAAGAGAAAGGAAAGCAGGTACATACAAGGGAAACCCCATACGGCTACAAGTGGGTTTTTCAGCAGAAACTCTGCAGGCCAGAAGAAAGGGGCATGATAAATTCCAACTGCTAAAAGGAAAAAATCTACAGCCAAGAATACTCTATCCAGCAAGGCTTTCATTTAGAATAGAGGAAGAGATCGAGTTTCCCAGAAAAACAAAAATTAAAAGCAAAACCAGCCACGTCCCTGTCACATATGATACCATCGGCCTGTGGGTTCCAAATTCACAGGCCAGCCGCCCTCCTGCCCAAGTCAGCATGCAAGGCCTGCCACCTGCTCAATGCCAAGTCAACACACCTTTACCTCAGACTGCCAAGGGCTCAAATTTACACTCTTCCCCTTCAAATTCCAGCCCCTGTGTTCAAGTTTGTGCAGAAAAGTGGGCATAATTATAACAGCAGAATGAAGCAACCCAAACATCTAACTATTTCTGTGGAATATATAATGGATAAAAGGAGTGTGCTAGGCTGAGAACATCTCCAACAAGCATTTCAAAGAACAATACATACAGCATGATTCTGGTTAGTAAAAAAAAAACAACAAAAAACAAAAAAACAAAAAAAACCTGGGAAGAATAAAACAAGATGAAACCAGAGAGGGAGACAAACCATAAGAGACTTCTTAAGCATAGAAAAGAAACTAAGGCTTGCAGGAGGGGAGGTGGGGGGGATGGGGTAACTGGGTGGTGGGCATGAAGGAGGGCACGTGATGGAATGAGCACTGGGTGTTGTATTCAACTTATGAATCACTGAACTCTACCTCTGAAACTAAAAATACACTATATTGTTAATTAATTGAACTTAAAAAAAAGGAAACCCCCTCCAAAAAAAGATATTACTAAATCATGTCTGGTCAATCCACTAAATAACATTAATTATAAAATTATATAGACCAGATTTCAAAGATTTTGATAATACATAAAACACAATCTAAATTTTAAAAAATCATAAATCCTGATTTCCCATAAGGTTTATGCTAACAGTTTGAAATAAGTGATAAATCTACAAATTTCCATTGTTAGAAAATGAGTAGGTATTGTAGCACCTTTAAATTACTGTCTGCATTAAACACTCTATTAAACACAATTTAGTAAGAACATGTAATTTCTCCCATGATTCTATACTTTTTTGAAAAACAAAATCTCCCTTTAAATTTGTCAACTAATTTTAGCTAAGTACTCATTTATTGTATTATGTAACTATATATATATATTACGAAAGGGCTGGACTCTATTTGCATATAAGTTAAATTTCCAGTTATTGTCATAAACATCCTGTTTTCACTTATTTTTGACAAGATGGAAAAAGCTATTTTTAAAAACAAAACAACTGCCTCTGATATATTAATTTTACCGTTTTAAATGTTTAAATCAAATTCTTTTCCAATTCAACTTCCAGACAATAATAAATATAAAATTAGGAGAATTAACAAGTAAACCAATCAGATTAAATTCTCATAAATGACACACATTAAGGACTATTGTCATTAAACATCAAAAATACAAATAAACTTCTTTTAATTTAGATTCAAGTAGCCAACATATAGTACACATTAGTTTCAGATGTAGTAATATAAACTCTTAAAACATTACCTTGTCATACCTGTTGAGTGACAGGCTTATTAAATCACAAAGGAGATTTTCACAATGTTCTTCAAATAGGCTGATGTTGGTTAAATTGTCACCTGCCAGATTCATAAACTGATGACCATATATAACTTGTTCTAAAAATATAATAAAATATATCCTATTTAAAACCACAGTAGATTTTACGGATTCGAAGGAAGAAAGTAACTATACTCCTTTAAATTCACTTAAAGCAAAACTGCAACATATACAGTTAAAAACAAATTTCTTTAGAAATAAAAGTTAAATTTGAGGCAATTCCTTTCTTATATGATCACTGATATACATTACCCCAAAAAAGTTTTCAATTTTCTCAAGTGCCACTTAATAGACTTCTCTTTTCTTAATGTGGTCATCTTTAAAATGTAACAATGTAACATCACTTAAGGAAAAAAAAATAAAAGCGGGGAAATGCTAGAAAATCTTCACCAATATTTCTGACCAATAAAGGCTTTAAAACATTTTTAAAACAAATACTGATAAACTAATCACATATAATTGTTTTGTGGTGTGAACAGAGCAAACCAAGGTAATAGATACTAAAACATGTACCTATCAGATTAAGTATTGCTCCAAGGAATTATTATCTGAAATACAAAGTCCATGTGAGAGAAGAAATTATGTATTTGTGGACATCTTTGTATGTTTGTGTGCATGTATATATATAAGTGTACACATACACATATATACATACATGTATTTTTGTATTAGCTTACTGAAAATCAGATATTGAGATAATGGATGTTTTTATAACCTATAACCTAAATTGATAATTTACAAATAGGTAATATTTACAAAATATTGCTAAGTTGATAATGGACTCTAAAGATGCCAAATAGCAAGACCAAGAAATAAACAGGCAATATGTGAAATAAAAAAGTATTATCCATAATATATACAAACTACTAATTTTTTTTAAAAAAAGAAACATGAGCAAAAGATAATGAACAAGTAATAAAGCAAATATAAAAAACAGTAAAATTATGTAAAAATGTTCAACTTCATTGGTACTCAAAAAATTGCAAAACATTCAATATCATTTTTCATGTATTATTTGGCAAAAAATAAAAATAATTGATAATATCCACTACTGGCAAGAGAATGAGGCAAAGGTATGCTCGCAGTGTACCCAAATTGGGGAAACTCTGTACAGCAACTAAGCAGTGGTTACGATATTAAAGCTGAATGTGCCACTCCAATTCTAAGAATCCACTCTACAAAATAACTTGTACATGTATTCAAAGATGTATACACATACACACACACACACACACACACACACACACGGATGTTCCGCGAAATATCACTTGTAGTACCAAAAATATGGAAATAATGGAAATATTAATAAATAGACTTGGCTAAATAAATTATGATAGAGCCATAACATACAGCCCTTAAATAAATGAAGTACTATATGTACTGACACAAACAGATCTCTAAAAAACTGTTGAATTAAACATTACACAGAACACTACCATTTGTGGTTAGTTAGAAACAAAGACAAAAATCCTACCCAAGAGTTTCTATGTATATATACACACACACACAGACTAATATAGAAGTATGGAAAGATAAATGGACCAAACTGTTCTCTTGAAAAAAGGAATAAGACCTTGACTTTTTACTTTGGTTACTATTTGATGTAAATAAAAATTAAAAAACCCGGAAAGCAATGATGACCTGTAATTTAAAAAAAAAACAACAAGGGTTTAGATTTAAAAAGGATATAAATCAGAAATCCATAAACTTACTCAATTTTTCACCCAGCATGTGAAGAATTTCTAGCACCATCCAATGGATATCTAAGTGGAGATGTAATAAATGCCATGATGGTGGAAAAAGCTGTGAAGGATATTATCAACTGAGAATTCATAGTACTTTAGTAGGCATTTTATAGCATGCTACAACACTCCTCCATAAGCACAAGGATCAGGAACCAAGTAACCTACCCACTCTTTAAAAGCTCAGGGAAAAACTTCGTCTTGTTCATTAGAGGATTCTTTCACTGGAGATCTTTGAAAGCGTATTTTCATTTGATGCTTTAGGACAGACCCATCTTGGGGCTGCCAAATAGACTTGTATAGTAAAGGTCCCTTCTAACCAACCTCTGATTTTACTACAGCTGCAAGGCAGTAAAACAATTTTTTTAACCACTTATTTTCATAATTTTGTTTTAGACTTTAGCTAGGAAATATGTTTTTAAATGTAATGAGTACCCAGGAACACCTATGAAGTATTCTAACAGGAGAAATAGACTATCACATTGTAGACACTATTGAGATGCCCATTAAGAAACTGAAGTTAAAAGCAGTGAAGAAATTTACCTTCCAATTCACGTGTTAAGATTAAAATCTAACTCTGATTCAAAAGCCAGTGCTCTTAACTACTGTGCTGTAGTAGGGTTGTCAATAACCTTCCCCGAACCAACATTTAGTATCACTTTAAAAATAAATAACAATGATATACATGTTCTATTAAGAGAACAAGGAAGAATGATAGAGAGGGGACTTGTCTTATCAAATGTGCAAACAAAATAAAATGCTACACTAATAAAACAGTATTGGCTCAGAAATAGATAAACAGCAAAAATAGGCAAGAGAGAAATAAACATGGTATCTCCAATCAGTGGGGAAAACATGAGCCATTCAATAAAAGACTGGTTATTAACTTATTCATTTGCAAGAAACTAAAGTTAGATTTCCCACCTCACAGCATATTTTTTAAAAAGAGATGAATTAAAAAGATAAATGTAAAAAACAAGTATATTTTTAACAACCACACAGAGATGATACAGAAGAAAAACCTGACAAATGTGACTACATACAAAACTTAAACCATCTCCATAGCAAGGCAAATTGCTAAAAAAGAAAAGATAAATTGATGAAAGTATCTGTAATACATAATACCCAACAAATATCTCTAATAAAGAAAGTTCCTTAAAAATAAAAGACAGATGCTTAACTGAAAATGCCAATTAAGTACTTTTCATATATGATAGGTAAAACAAGAAATATAGTCTTAAAAGATACTTTTCATTTTGTAAGATTTTTCTTGCTGTTGTTTCAGAAAAGAACAGTATTTCAGTGTATGATTTTTTTGTGTATGTGCATTAAAAATTCAGCCTTCTGATCTTCAAATAACCTCTTTTCAAGTTTGCCTAATTAAAAAGGCTATGAAAGGCAAAACCTAGTTGAGAACCTTTGCAGTCTTTATTTCCACTGCTAAATTATTTTTATTTTCTTAAGCATTTGATGGAAGATCCAGAAAATAAAGCCAGTCCAATTTATAGAGACCAAAATGAAGGAAAAATATCCCTCTCCCCATAATCTATCCACGAATATTTATTAAGTGTCATGATTACAAGCAATTATCTATTTGCTTTCTATGAATTAGACATATTAACCTCTGAATTCAGTTAGGACTTTTTATTTTTAATATTACATATATTGGTCCCTGATAAGAGTATTTTGTTGTTAAATTTCATAGAAATACATAAACATTTATTCGTACCTTACATTTTGGCAAAGACACATTCCTAAAAACTGAATGTTATTCAAATTGGTAAAGTCAAATTGAATGAAAGAAGTTGAGAGTTCAGGGAAACCCACGGGGAATTACAATTTGCCATTCATATAAGCTCACATTTTCCTATGGAGAATTTGTTAATTACATCTATAAGCTGGGTCATGCTATCAATACAAATTTTAAAAGAACAAAACTTCTATAGGAATGACTTCATAGGTAGAAAAAAGGGGAATAATAGTCAAAACAATCTTAATCATATTCCAAAAAGGTCTCAAAAGTAAGAATATACATAATGCTGTGGTTTTGAAGCTGTAGCTTTTATAATAAGGTGATCTTGAATTTTACTGTAATAAACACTATGATTTGCCCAAACCTTTATCAGTGCGAAAAATGATACAAATTTTTAAAAAGTAAAGGTTATTTTGCTTTGAAACTTGTACATATCTGCACGTTATAAACTGGAATTGAGAATAGCGATCACTGTTTCAGTCTATATTATAAACACTTTATTTAATTTTAACTTACCTAATTTTCCCAATAACTCTAGGAAGCAAACCAATTATACACGTGAGGAGACTGAGGCAAGAGGTGTTGCTTGCCCAATGGCACATAATTAGAAGAGGAGCCAGAATTTTAACTCAGGCAGTCTAGTCCCTGAGCTGCACTCTTGACTATTTTCCCTCATTCTTGAATGAATGAATATTCCTTGCGAAAAGAAAAAAAAGCCCGCGAGGATTTAAAAATTAAATGAAACAAGTCAAACCTTAATTTGGTTTTGATTTACAAACGCTCCTGGACTAATACTGGGAAGTTCAGATAGATGTCCAATATACAAGAGTAATCCATGAAGTTCATCAACCAGCACAGATGGAAGTTGTGCCTCCAAAGTTTCATAGGGATGGACAGGAACAGGACTCTCAGCATTTTGTACTTTCAGATACCTAAAAAAAGTAGATACAATAAATAACCAGACTCTGGATAAACATGCACTCAGAAATTCATGCAGTAATCAAAATACTCATCTGACATCTTACCTAAAGATGAAAACTTTAACATAATGAAGAAATGTCACGCACTGCTGCCTAATATTGTCTGCTTTGCAGTGTAGGGTGGATATCTTCCCTGAAACCAAAATAGATTAAGTGATATCAAAGTTTAAATAATTAATCAGTGGGCGGTGACAAAAAAAATTTGTAAGCCATACAAGCAGCAGTTCATTTGTGATTTCATCTGTTCCAAATTTATCACTCTATCATACATTCTGATCCAACCATACATAATTACCACTTCCTGCTCCCCGAACTTAGGTTTCAATACACCTCAATGATTTTGTCTATACAGTTGTTTCTACCTGGAACTCTTCCGCTCCCCAAAACTTCTGCCTACCCATTTTTTCCTCATCTCTGTAGACCAAGATCTGGCATCACTCTGTGATGGGCCCCTAAACAGATGAAGCCCCTGGCTCCCATAGCAGCTTATACATGCCACGATTACTACACTTTTCCGTCTACCATGCTGTCCTATGCTTGTGTGTCTGTATGTCCTACCAACTACAAACTCCTCAGCAGATTCTTCCACTTTGATTCATCGTCACCTTACACAGTACCCAGCCTGAAACAGAGCCTCAGGTGAAAAATAGTACTCAACATTTACTGAGCACACAGTAAGAAAACAAAACAGCCCTGACAGCAGATAGCTAACAACTAGGTCATGATGTTCCCTACTGAAATTAAAATTTTCATGAAATACCAAAAATAATCAGATGGGGCCACTCTGTGATTATGGTGAAACAAGACAAAAACAAAATCTCTCTGTAATCATGTCTGAATACAGAAACAAGGCACTATGCAATCACGGAAAAACAAAATACAAAAACAAAATATTTCCCTCTTGCAGCTAACATGACTATTACTTTACTAATTAGAACCCTCCTTAGCCTTTCTGGGTCCCACCTCCTAGACAAAAATTAACATATTCAATTCATTACACTGTCCCTGCTTAACACCATCCAATCCTAGTCCCCTTAAACTCTCTCCAAATCACCAGTGCAAGTACAAACCCTATCACAAGCCCCTCCCTACTCTCCCTGAGAAGCCCCAACTGTTTCTCATGATGTGTACTTCCTTCTTGTGTCAGTAAGCTACTCAACCTTTCATTGACCAAAGGTGTGTTCCAGGTGATCTTTAGTTGCTGGGCATCACTAATAACAGGTATTAGCCTGAGCACTTCACAGGCATTATATCATTTATCCTCACAAGAACTCAATGAGGTGGGAACTGTTACCTGGTGTGAGACCGGTAATTAGCTAGGGTTGGAACCCAGGCTGACCACAGTGTCATGAGTCTAATTCCTACACTGGAGCACAATTGCCAGAAAGGAGAAGCAGCTAGCCTGCGCTAAAACACTGTCTTCAATTCCCTTCACTACCTTAACCATAGCAACCCCCCTCCATGAGTAACCCATTAAATGTCAAAAACAAACCAAAAGCAGAGCAAGAAGACAGCATAAGGTCCCACTGCCCGCCCCCAAAGCAAGTTAATTCACTTTAGAAATGTTTAGCCTTAAATCAATTTTATCACAGACATAGAAAAATACTATGAATCTCAGCTACAACAAAATTTAAGTGTTATATTTTTTCTGAACACTAAACACTATCCTGAACTTCTAACCTAATGCTTCTTCCTCCATGTTATTATATCCCAATTACACATCATAGATAGATGTGCAATTCCTTTTTGCTATTAAAAACATTTAAAACTTACCAAAATCACAGCTGGCCTGTAATAAGGTTTCCAAGTTGTACAGTTGCTGCCTAATTTAAAAAAATGTAAGGTGAGAGTTAATTTTGGAAAAATTTAAAGCATGTATTATAGAGATATTTCCAAATCTATTACATAGCTTTAGTATGTGCATAGCCTCTCATTTATGAACGATGTTTAAAAAAGTTTGTGGATATTTATACAGGGTCAGACAGTCAAGACTGAGAAAAGATAAAACATGCCTTTGTTTGACCTTCCAAAAATATCTATTAAAAGCTGCATATATGTATATATAATTATATATTATAAATATCATTAAATGATAATGTTAATTGTGATAATGAGACACTGTTTATGTTTTTTAAAAGTTCATATTTTTAAGAAATGCTTACTGAAATATTTAAGGGTAAGATAACATGATGCCTGGAATCTGCTAAAAATACTCAAACCAAAAAAAAGAGGGAAAGGGACAGATGAAGAAGTGTGATAAAACCTTGATGGTGTACTGCCGCTGAGAGAGGTTATGTGAAGTTTCGTTATAGTATTCTCTCTACATTTGTGTATGTTTGGAAAATTTCATTAAAATTTTTAATGTTGTCCAACTTAATCATATTAATTAATCATATTACTATACAGTCTGAAAGATATATCTGGAAAGTCTGAATTCATTCTCTAAAAATCAATGAAAGACTATGACGATTCAGTAACAAAAGTATTTTTCTTCCAAAATTATAATATGGTTCAAAGCATTAAATATTTGTCTTCAATACATGATGTCAATGTTGAATAAAAAGTCTGAAAAAGAATGAAGACTCACTAAAAAACGAATCATTAAAATCACTGCTCCATCAAACATTACATGATTGTTGTTATTGATAAGATAATCAAGACAGCAACATGAACAACTCCTGCATTTGTAATATTGGTATCAGAAACCACCCAGCAAAGTAACTTACACAACTGAAAAGCATCAATGGTCAAAGGCAGTTAAAAACAAAACATACCTGAATAAATGAAAGAGCACTCTAGATGAATTCACTAATGCTGTTTCAGTAACCCACTGAATGGCAAATATTTCCACTGTATCTTCTTCAAAATTAGTTGGTAAAGGATCAAGATTCAAAATTAATCTGAAATGAAAACTCTAATCTTATAAAAAGTATGCTAAATCCCAACTATAGCATATTTTTGTCATATAAATCCATATTGTATGTGACATGTCAACAATGATATAAAATTATGATATGCCTTGGTACCTTACATATTCAGGAATTCCTACATTTAGATTGTATGAAAAATTCAGTCATATGTAGTGATAAAGTGTAACTAAAGAACAATGTAACTTAGGGGAAAAACTCAAAAAGTAAGTCTAGGGAACATACTTTTTTGGCCTATGGTCTTCAGTCGAAGAATTTCATCCTTTGAGGGGGCATTTAATGTTTAAAACAGGTAAAAGTTACTGAGCCATGTCTGGAGCATAATCAAACTGAATAATCTCTTTTAAGGTCTCAAACAAGGTACAACTATAAAATCAACAAAAATGGCTTCCTTTCTGAAATTGCCTCAGCAGGTATTCCCAGAAAATTTCAACAACTGCAGTTTTACAGCAACTTGTGTACAGCTGCCTAAGGCAAGAACTTTAAAGAGTAACATTCTTGTGAACTTACACAATCTGGTGAATTTATTCAAAAGTTTAAACAAAAATAAGTCTATGACTTCTGTGTATAGATACACAGAATTAGAAGGAACTGGGGGCAACAAAACAATGTCTATGTGTAACTTAAGAATTACTGAGAAGCTCCAGATTATTATTTCATGTTTTAGAAGGATATTCCAATTAAAAAAGCCCAGCTAGCTCAGAATTCACTTTAAGTAAAAGGGAAATTAGTGGCCAGCTTCCTACCCCAAAACTGAGGTAGCTGTGAGATAAGAAAACATCCGGTAGCAAGAAGTTCTCAATATCCAAAAATCTTTTAGGTATGCTTTAACCAGGAAACCGACAACAGAACTTATAGCCTGCACCCATGTTATATACTAAGCCGATTTGCAAAAACATGGCTTGAACAACGAAGTTTAAGTTGACTGAAATCATAATTAAATAACATTCCTAACAAACTGATGAAAAATTTGATAAGGGAAAAACACAGTCCCCGATTTTTTACCTACCGCTTAAGGGCTCCGCTAGAAAGGTAGGACTCTCCAGAAAAATGATTTCCTCCTCCTCTGTTGTCAATACCACAAGAAAAGCAAGGGGGTTTGCACCATTCTGTCCCCAGCTCCAGTTCCAAGCTGTCGGTCAGGAACATCGACGCAGTGGAGCAGTTATCCATTATTGACTTTCTGTCCTGAAATGTTTGGGACTCATATCATTCAAGACTCCAAAGATACTGTGATTAGATTCCAGGAGGTGGGGCGGGCCAAGAGATTGGCGGTATCTCAGAAAGTTCTCAAAACGTCCCCCCAGTACAAAGAAAAAAGCCCGAGAAGCCAATTCCTCAACAACTCTCCCCACACCGACACCCCGATAGCAAGGCTGTCAGAACTTAGAATGCACCCCCGACTGGCTGTGGCAGGAACTTCACATCTGCCATCCAGGTCGGATTCTGCAGCCGGGACAGCGCGAAAAAGAAAGAAATGGTTGCAGGACAGATCCAGCTTCAGCTCCCGACCCCGCCTCGACCGGCAAGTCCCGCTACGTTACCGAAAAGTACCGAGCCAGTTTCCCAACAGTGTCGTGGAAAAGCTTCCTTGCGCACTTCGGGTGGGGATCAGGAACCCGCCCGGCGCCAATCTTTAGTCCTCCCAGCCGGGAGGCAAGTTCCGCCAGGTCCCCACTCGGCGGCGACCAGCGCGGGCCGGGCACAGGGCGAAGGAAGCCGGTGTCCTGCGCACCGGAGCGCCCCTCCTTTGAGGCACGGCGTACCTGCTCACACTTTCGGCCCCCGAGGTCCGCCCCCAGCTGCCGGGTCTACAACCCCGGAGTTACCGAGGTCTAAATCGGAAACAGGCGAAATTCCCGCCACCGCGCGCCCGCGCTCAGGAAGGGCGGGGCCACGGCGCAGCCCGCCCCCTGAGATCCGCTCGCGAAGTCTCTGCAGGAACCGCCGGCGCTCCGCGAGTTGTCGCGAGAGTCAGCCGCCCAAGGACTCGATACTGCCAGCAGCTTTTTCTTTCTTTCTTTTTTTTTTTTTCCCCCCCCCTCTGTGCGTGTAGCTTTAATTGGTGAGTTCGGCTGGAAGGCGGGGCCTCACGGGGAAAGGAAACTGGAGGCTGAGGTGAGCAAGGCCTAGGGACCTCTGGGTATTCTTCGCGCGGGGCGCAAGAAAAGAGTTTTGCTCAAGTGAGTCCGAAGTGGGTGTCTCATTTACACCCAGAGCCGCGCCATCCCCTCCTGTTACCGCGCTAGTGCCGGCAACCCTTTTGTTAAGATCGAGGATGCCTATTGTTCGTGGTTTGTGGACAAGGCATGTGCAAAAATGAGGTTAATCCAGTGTATAGTAGCACTGAATAAGTCAGATGGTCCTTGCTTTTGGCATAAAACTGTCGCTCCCCTTATTTGCAACACATCTGGACAGGTTTGAGTCGCTTAAACCTGGTCGCTTTTGTGAGATATAGCCCATGTGCAGCATTTTTATCTTTTTATATTTTAAAAGTATTCTTTTAAAATCTCTTCAGAAGACTTTCCAGTCTAAATCAGAGATAACACATTTAAGCTTATCACTGACTTAAGATTCAAGAAAAACGTGATAATTGCTCTTTCAGATATCCTATAATTTTGAGTATTCGCCATTGCCCATTCCTCCATAATAGTTTGTCCTGTGTTTAATTCCTGTACAGAGGACCTGTCAACTCCTCTGTTCAAATACTGCACATGTTCTAAGAAATGGGATGAGGTGTGTGTGTTGGGGGGGGAACACAATATGATCTCTATTCTGACTGCAATCTAGGGCTACTGTGATGGGTCCTATGTCCATTATGTTCACATCATGTGCCCTGAGACTTGATGTCTTCTTGGTGACCACTGCAGCTTTTTAGGGTCCAGGTGGAGTTCTAGCATGACACATTGTCATCTATAACAGTCCCTAGGAAACAGTGTCTAGGTATGAGAATATTGGGCCCTGGCACTATTTAGGAGAATTGGGTCAATAGACAGTCATTATTATTTCTTCCTCTAATCAAAACATTCGGATAGACCCCTTTTTCCTTTTTCAAGTGCCTGATGAGTGATCAACTTGGTTGAACCAGTAAGTAGAATGTGAAGAACCAAGTAAGTTACCTGTAAATAACGTAAGCTAGTACTCTAATGCATTTGGGTAAGAATTCCCAGCAAGTTAACAGGCAGCATACTGAAGAGAGGTAATTAAAGATACTTAATGAAAGGGCATTTATAAAGGTATGGACAGGGTTACTGGAAAACAAAAAGTAATCATGAAGCATCCAGAACTAATCAGAGTCATTATCACCCTTAGGCCTAAGAGATTTGGGGAAGAGGGATTACTAGAGCCCAAGGAAACTCGTTCAGGTAGGAGAGAGCTACCTACCTGATAGCAACCTATGGTACCTTCATAGAGGAACATAACCACTGCCAACCTGCCACGCAACAGGGAGGAGCTGGAAGGATTAAGTACGCAAACCACTTTCCCTCCATACTGCACTGTCCAACTGGTGGTTTTCATTGGCTAAAACCAACCTAAAAATAGAGGGCAAGGATGTAACCTATAAAGTTCAGGCTCCTAGGATAGAGTCCAGCCTGAAGAAGGGTAGAGAGTGAATCTGATGGGGGTAAATTTTATCAAGAAGACATAACAATACTAAATGTATAACAACTTCATATATATATATAAAGGGATAAATTTATTAATTATAGGAGAAATAAATCAATAATTAGTTACAGACTTCAACACTTATCTCTCTGTAATTGGTGGAACCAGTAGAGAGAGAATTAGTATAGACTTGAACAGCACTATCAACCAACTTGACCTAATTGATAATATTTATAGGTGACACAACCTGACAATAGCAGAATACACTCTTTACAAGTACACATGGAACACTAAGGTAGACCACATTCTTTGCCAGAAATCAAATTTCATCAGCTTTAAAAGGATTGAAATCATACAGAGTATATGGTCTGACCACAATGGAATTAAACTAGAAACCAATAACATATCTGAAAGAAATCTCTAAATATTTGGAAATTAAGTAGCACTTCTAATTAACCCATGGATCAAAGAAGAAATCACTAGGAAAATGAGAAAATATTTTGAATTAAGTGAAAATTAAAGCACATTAAAATTTATAATTTTAACTGCTTACATTAGAGAAGAAGAAAGAGTTCAATGATTTAAATTTCTATCTTAAGAAACTAGAAAAAAACGCAGCAAAATAAAACCAAATCAAAAATGAAGGAAATAATAAAGGGGAGAAATAAATGGAATGAAACAGAAGAATAGAGGAAATAAATGCAATCAGAAAGTGGTTCGTTGAGGCACACCTGGGTGGCTCAGTTGGTTGGGTGTCTGACTCTTGATCTCAGCTCAGGTTGTGAACTTGGAGTCATGAGTTCAGGTCCAACGTTGGGCTCCATGCTGGATGTGGAGCCTACTTAAAAAAAAAAAAAAGGGGGCCCCTGGGTGGCTCAGAGGGTTAAGCATCTGCCTTCGGCTCAGGTCATGACCCCAGGGTCGTGGGATCGAGCCCCACATCGGGCTCCTGGCTCAGCAAGGAGCCTGCTTCTCCTTCTCCCTCTGCCTCTCTCCCTACTCAGGCTCTCTCCTCTCTCTCTCTCTCTCTCTCTCTCTCTCTCGCTGTGTTGAGACACATGAGAATGATGAATAAATAAAATCTTTAAAAAAAAAAAGAGTTGGACACAACCACCCGAGCCACCCAGGCACGCCAGGACAGAAATATTTAAAGGTGGGGGGGCTTTTATTTAAAGCTTAGATCCAGGAAGTTGGCAAAGGAGTGAAGCTCAAATCAGTGAATAGGTAGGATTTATGAGGTAGATTAGCCTAAATCAAAGAGTGTGGGGACAAAATGGAGATAATAAGAACACATTAAAAAAAGAATACATTAATGTGGAGATGGTCTTAAATCTCAGAATGTGACAGGGTCAAGAAGGACATTGATTTAAATAATTTTATGGGGTGTGGCTATGAGGGAGTTCTACTCAAATCCAGGAATGCAGTGCTAAAACAGGGATTGGCTTAAATCCATGAATGGAGTGGACCTAAGAGAGGGTAATTGGCTTAAATCTATGAATGGGACAGGGCTTAAAAGGATTTTGGCATAAATTCTTAAAGGGGATGTCCAAAATGGGATTGGCCCACCACATCTTGTAGTGATCAACATTAATTATGTTGGAGTGGGATTAAGAGGGGATTGGTTTAGATTCATGAATTGGGTGTGGCTATGAGAGGAATGATAATAATAAAAGATTGATTCCTTTCCTGTAAGATGAAGAACAAGAAAAGGATCTTTTATCCAACATTGTATTGGAGGTTATGGCCAATGCAATAAGACAAGAAGAAATAAACAACATACAGATTGAAAGAAGTAAAACTATCTTTATTTCAGACATGATTATTTATGTAGAAAATCAGGTGGAATCTCCAAAAATCTACCAGTACTAATAAATAAGTTTAGCAAGGTTGCAGAATACAAGATCAATAAACAAAAATCATTTGTATTTCTGGGGCATCTTGGTGGCTCAGTTGGTTAAGCAACCACCTTTGGCTCAGGTCATGACCCCAGGATCCTGGGATTGAGTCCC